GAACTTTTAATTTAGTACGTTAATTAGATATGTATCTATACTGAATATCAATAATTAAGATTTCAGTTGTTTTCCAACATGAGTCATGACTCATGAGTGAATAAGAGATTTGATACTGTTTTCAAGCAAGAACCTTGTGTTAACTCATTCCTATTATTTGATGCTGTTTTTAAAACAAGAGTCCAGTGTGAACTATTATTTCCTGAGATTTGTTGCTGTTTTCATTCAAGAACCATTTGTGAACTGTTATTTCCTGAGATTTGTTGCTGTTTTCATTCAAGAACCATTTGTGAACTATTATTTCCTGATATGTGTTGCTGTTTTCATTCAAGAACCATTTGTGAACTATTATTTCCTGAGATTTGTTGCTGTTTTCATTCAAGAACCATTTGTGAACTATTTCTACCTGAGATTTGTTGCTGTTTTCATTCAAGAACCATTTGTGAACTATTGCTACCTGAGATGTGGTGCTGTTTTCATTCAAGAACCATTTGTGAACTATTGCTACCTGAGATTTGCCACGTTTTCTTGGTTTCCAACCGTTTTCTCGCCGCAGTCGGTCAATTTCCTCGTTCATCTGGTCATCAGTGTATCTAAAAAAGGAAAAATATTTAAAAGAGGTTTTAAAAAAATAAAAGGCGGATCTCTGATCCCGGTATGGAAAAGATACTAGAATTCATTTGGCGTACCGTCCCATTTCCCTGTGACTATACACATTCTTTTACCGCTTTATTAAATGTGAATTTGAATAGAAGCAGCCTGAAGTCAGACCGTATATGACAAGGCTGGACACGCCAACGGTTGGCCCAGCTCGTATATTCAAATGTACTTCGGCTGTGCGTGTACAGTCAATATGTGTACGGCACTTTCTTTCCTAGCCGCATAAAGGTCGTTCCGGCACTTAATTATATTCCATCATGGGCTGATCAATATAATTATATAAAAAGAAAAGTAAACTTATTTTTTTTGGAAGTAAAAGTTTCAAAACTATTTTAGATTTAAAGTTTTCTTTTTCTTTTCAATAAAATATCATCCTTAAAGGGAGTGTTCGCGAAAAATGAAAGGGGGTGTAGGCTTAACGCGATAAAAAAGCGCTTTTGATCGCCACTAATCTTACTTCTATCTGTTGCGTCTATAAGGAGAAAATTGTTAAAGACGTCTCATACCGAATAACATGGCGTCCATACAAATTGAGAAAATTGCAACATACGACTTAGACCGTAAAAAATCAATTTAATTTCAAACAAATCATTCAGATATATAGTTGATTTTTCATAATATGTTTTAATTGTTATGATCTGAGAGTCACTTATAAAAACGTTTATTCCTGTTTCGAGGATTTTTGGTAATGAAGACGACATTTTCATATTTTCCAGGAATGTTCGAAAACAAGTTGTAAGCTAAATATTATTTTAAAAAATAAAATCAAAACATATTATGAAATATCAAATATATACAAATGTGGCGAAACAGAATCGATGACTATAGGTTTTAATATCTGAATGATTTGTTTGATATTAATTTGATTTTTTTACGGTCTAAGTCGTATGTTCCAACTTCAAAATTTGTATGGACACTACGTTCTTCGGTATGAGACTTCTTTATCAATTTTCTCCTTATAGACGCAACAGATAGAAGTAAGATTAGTAGCGATCAAAAACGCTTTTTTATCGCATTAAGCCTATACCCCCTTTCATTTTTCGCGAACACTCCCTTTAAGTCCAGAATCATATATTGTGTATATCATAAAGTGAAAATAGGACGAAAATCTTGGTTTGAAGAATGTTTTCAATGTAGAGAAATAAATCTTCATTTAGAATATAAAAAATCCATCTGCTCGGAACAGATTTATTTCTTTCATGTTTATATTTATTTAAATTGATTTTGTTTCATTTCATAAATTTTATTTAACAAAAATCTCAAATGTTATGAATGTTTTCAATTTCAAATCCAAAATCGATAAAATTGTTTTTTTTTATGAAAATATTTATTTAAAGCAAATAATAGACCTAAAATTCCAAGCTTTGAGATCTTTAGACCTCATTGTAAATTAGAGGTTCTGGGGAACAAATTAGTCAGTCTTTACTCTTTTTTTAGAACCTACTTTCACTCGTTAAATAAATACTTTTATCATCATTTCTATGAGATTATTTTATTATAGATACTTTAAAGTAAATAAAAAATTAAAATAAAGATTAAAATATGACTGACAATATATCGACACAGACAGGACGTATTTCGTTAGAACAGATCATTTTTATTAGAATATAATTTACCTTTGATATTTTTCCTCCCCCTCTGGATCCGCTGTGCCAGTTGGTTTGAGAAAGTCTCCGACAATGAGTTTAGTACTGAAACTGAAGTGGGTACGCTTAATCTGGGACATCCCTCGCTTCTCAATATACTAAACAAGAAGCAAAATTTAACCAGGGCCCGCCGAACCACAAATGGTTGTTAAAAATGTTTGATTTCTATGATATTTCGTAAAAAAAATTAAGATAAAAAGAAATAAAATATTTATTATAAAGAAACAAAGATCAAAAAGAGAAATAAAAGTTTTCATATAGTCGAGTCAACTCATTAAGATGCTATGAGTATGAAACTATAATTTTGTTAAGTGAAAACTTTACACATTGCTTCAGGGTTTAGAAGTATTTAAATGATTATGAGAAAATATCTACAGAACAACAAGTAGATGTGGGTTAGTAACGTATAACTAAATAGCGTGGCGACATTACAAATTCGATTCGGTCTAAAAAATCAATGCATATCTTTATAGATAGCTGTCTGCGAGGTTATAATGCAAGGAAAGTTAATTGCAGTTGCGTATACTCTGCGTACATACTGAAACCAGTTCTCTCTGGGCGGAATTTGAAAACAAGAATAGATGCATCCGTGTTCGTTTAGTATCCGAGGAGATTAAAAATTTTGATATTTCACATAATAGCTTTCTCTGACCAGAATATTTCATTGATTTTTTTTGTGAAAGATGGATCCCATGTCAGGCTTCGACATCCGTCTTGTGTTTACATTACCGCCCAGAGACAGTACACTGCAGTACAAAATATGCGTACACCTCTGAAATAACGTTCCTTGCATTATAACCTTGGCTGTCTGGATCTCTTCTTTAGTTAATTATGAATACGTTTTTAATCTTTGTTCTGAGATTAGAATTAAAATATGGTAGAAGAGGTATATAGAAAATATAAATCTGAATTGAGGAGAAAAAAGATTTATTGGTTGAAAATATACCATATATGTATATATATCTCATATTTATTGAAGATTCCAAGAAATATTCTCTCTCCCTTCATAAATCAAGAAATATGTGGACTAGGAATATCTTGAAGAATCTGTAAGCGTAGTTTCAATTGTGACCCTCCATTCAAAGATGACAATGCCCGATTCACAACGGTACCCTTGAAAACTTGATCTAATCGTTAATGTGGAAGACAGTTCTAGTTTAAAAATCTGATAATTCCTGCGGTAGAAACACACAATTGAAAATAGTCAGTTTTAAAATTATAAACATTGATCTCTAATTCATACTTTATTTAACAAAGGTTTTAAGGGTACCCTTGTAAACCGGGCATTGCCATCTTTTCATGAAGGTCACTTGAAATTACTCTTTCTTTCCCTTAAAGTGAACACAAAAACTTTAAACTATTTTTATCCAAAGAATGAACTTAACCTAATGTGTATCATCTTATTGTTTATTTACATTTGTTGGGAAAATCTGCAGAAGGCATGCAGAAGCTTTTTTGAATAATTATTTCTTCAAAATAATATAAAATTTAAAACGAATACACTTTTATGGTCTAAACATTTTGTATTCTAAGTCTTTCCTTATAAACAAAGCGAACGTAAATATAGAAAATTTAAACTTTCGAAACAAAGTGGGAGAGACAGCTAATGATACGTGAGCAATACCACAATCATAAATCTCAATATATATCTTTTTCTTAATCTTTAGATATTACAAACTCTAAAACATAAATTAAACTAAATGTTAATTTTACTTTACTGAGAGGACAGTTAGGGATATGGGACATAGCTTGGTTCGTTTCTGAGATTTTGGACTACTAATTAATTTCTGTAAATTTTTTTTGCATATATATCTCACAGGGTCAATATTTGGCAAAGTGTAAGAAAAGCTAATGTTTAAAATTAACAATTTTATAATTTGTAAAATTTTTCAGATTTTTGTGGAACCTATTAATATTGCAACTTTACCTCTACAATCCCTTTAAAACCAAATCTAATAAATCAACCCAATATTCCAAACTAGTTTAAATCCTGTAAATCTTGAATTAAATGCATTTTAAAAAATCATGTTTGCTTACAACACAACCTAACATACAACTATTTAACAGTAACTTGAAAAGTTGAAAGTATAGAGCTGTGCAGTGAGCAACTTAGTTTTTTTTAATAATTTTGCTAACGGTTGATATGTTCACTCAACGAGAAGGCCGCGCCTTAAATTTGTCGTTCGTTTATAAGTTCTTTAAGAAAATTTTGTTAATTTTCACAAACTTCCGTTTTTTAGCCTCACCTCTTAAAAAATAAAATGTTAATAAATGGCTAATTTTAAAATTTTAAAACTAACATAGAATAATTGTACAATCGGTTTCGTTCTTTAGTACATAAAGATTTCTTTTACATAAAAACTTACCCGAATGATATCCGGATACTGTTTAAACCGTTTCCCGCATGGAGCCACATATACTACTTCGCCCCGGATTCCGGATTTACTGAATTCTCTGAAACAAAAAAACTTAATTTTGACGTAGAAACGGGTTGATTTTTATTATTATTACTATTTGATTGTCTAGAGATAAGTTCTCAGCTATGTTTTTATTTCTTTAGTTCCTAATTGATTAATAGCTTATGAACTAATTTGTTTGTAAATAACAATGCCTCAGCATTTATCTATCAATTTATCATCGATACGCTGATAGTTATTGTTAGATTAATAAGTATTTGTAAATTATAACTATAACTTAACAGACTTAATATTGTCAATTTTTAATTTGCTATAAATTCTAATGAAAGTGAACAGCGTTATATTAAAAAAAAAACTCTTTTAATAGCGTATCAGATTGCGTTATTATTGCTATTAACTCTTTAGTCCATAAATATTACTTGGATTGCATGTAAATCTTTTCAACTAACCGTGCATTATTACGTCTAATAAGATAAAGTAAAAATCATTATCTGTTCTATTTGATTTTAACAAAACAAATTAACCTTTATTAGTTATGATTTAGTTATATTTAAAGATGGCGACTACTTTGTCAGCTGTTAAGAGGGTCGTCTTCAAGGTTTTACCTAATGGTTGTTTCTCGTCTCCAACCGTATCTAAGAGGAACCTTGAGTTCGTCTGTATCCGTTACAACCTGACGACCACGCTGTCTTCCATTCGTACCTAGAGAACAAGAACCATTAATATATGAAACACTAGAGAACAAGAACCATTAATATATGAAACACTAGAGAACAAAAAAATATAAATTATGGACTGCCAAAATTCCCTTAAATGGCAGTGAGCTAAATCTTAAAACGGAAGGTGTATACATTGATACATGGATAGCTAGATAGGTAGATAGTTGTATATATGTATAGATAGATTGATTGATTGATAGATAGATAGATAGATAGATAGATAGATAGATAGATAGATAGATAGATAGATAGATAGATAGATAGATAGATAACCTTTTATGAATAAAAGGATAAAAGGAGTTGAGTCTTTGCAACAAACTCAAATTATCTAATTCCAAAATCTTTGCAACCTGATGGTGTTGATCTTTGATATTTCAAACTTTGATTATTTGAACTAATAATATTCATAGTTTGAAATATCAAAGGTCTACGACATTGGGTTGCAAACATTAAGTAATTAGAAAATCAGAGTTTGTGGCAAAGACTCAATTCATTTTAGAATTAATAACAGTATAAAATAAAGGTCTGTAAATAAGTATTGCAAATAAAATACAACAGATTTTGAAGATAAAGAGTTTAAAAAAACATTCAAGGGAGCTGTCAACGTAATCTTAAGTGAGTTTCTTTCAAAAGATTCACAACAGTACCCTGCAAACCTTAATCTAATCAATAATTTAGAAGTTAACTCGCTTTTATCGCTTAAAAGTGTTAAATTCTCATATTTTCTCTGATATTGCACATTTGCCCATATTTTGCAGAGAGACCGCAAATGAAAATAGTGTTTTCAAAAACAAAACGTGGATTGAAAATACCGTTTACTATCCCTTTATATAAGTATATTGCTCACCGTTCGCTTCCTGGTGGTTGGATTCAGTTTCAGAATAATGGTCTTCAGAATCCTTTTCACTAGACAACCTGAAGAAAAAAATTAAATACACGAAGCATATCCCCCCCCCTTTCTAGATCTTATTGTTGCGCTTTTAATTTAATACTTTGCTAAACTGTAGTGTTATCAATAAAAGGCCACAATAAGGAAATACAACGGAGCTGTATTTTAAATTAACAAACTAAAAACAATATTAAATGATGCTAATTTAAAAATAATTAGATCAATTTTTAAAGATTTGAACGTTAAAAACGCAACCTTAACTTTTTATCCTGTAAAATCTACTTTTAACGTTAAAAATTCAAAAACAATATAATTTTTTTTCGTAAAAAAATCTTTTCCATATAGGAAGAAATATTTTATTCAGAAATAATAATTTTCAATCATGAAAATAGATTAATAATGTTTACCTTGTGCTTTGGTCTCCACGAAACATCATATTCAGATCAAAACCTGGAGACCCAGACCTAAATAAATATTGATTAATATTTTAATTACTCCCCTTTATATTTTCAACCAAATGGCGCACACCAATAATATTTCAAACTTAAAATTCTGCAACATCAAATAGCCAAGATTAAATTATGAAAGGTGCAGATTGCAAAGATAGGGGGTTAGATATTGACATTTCAAACTAAGAATAGTCTAAGTTTGAAATATAAAAATGTTTACACCATCTCTTTGCAAAGATATAAGAATTAGAAAATAAGAGTTTCATTTTCCTAACCAAACCTTTCAACTCTTTTTACTTTTTGCAAGAGAGAGAAATTGAACTGGGTTCTTGCATGTTAATAAACATATGGTAGACATGGATACGGTTTAAGGTTTGCACTAAATTCTACTCTATTATTTTCAAATAAAATCTTTTAAAGGGACTATGGACGTTATTTTATAGAGTGGCAAGTCTGATTCACAACAGTATTTCACTGCAAACCAAGATGTGCACGCTCTCACGCTAAAATCAAACAGTATTTTTTCAATTACTTCTTTTAAACGTACGGTAGAAAAAGTATATATGTCTAGGTCTACAAAAAAGTATTAGTAAGTTTGTGAGGTATAACCTGAGGCAATGGCGTTGCGTCACTATAAAGTCGGGGCTTTCTTAAAACTTGATGAACAACTTTAAGAGTTGTTCAGATTTCAGTGATTTCAGTACATACACAATTCATTATGCCCTCTTCTGCAGCATAAATTTAAAAACACTTGTAAAGAGAACAATGAAATAAAATAATCAAATTTTAATTATGTTAAACAAGGATATCTCATAGACATAAAAACTAGAACTAAATTGTTACGTTCAAGTAAAAAACTAGAACTAAATTGTTACGTTCAAGTAAAAAACTAGAACTAAATTGGTACGTTCAAGTAAAAAAAAAACTAGAACTAAATTGTTACGTTCAAGTAAAAAAAACTAGAACTAAATTGTTACGTTCAAGTAAAAAACTAGAACTAAATTGTTGCGCTCAAGTAAAAAAACTAGAACTAAATTGTTCCGTTCAAGTAAAAACTAGAACTAAATTGTTACGTTCAAGTAAAAAACTAGATTAAAATCAGGAATTAAAACTAGAAATTGTGGATAGGAATCCCGAGTTATGTTTTCGCTTTTATATAAATATGTTTGAGGTTAGAGCAGGGTTTGGTTAGTTCTAAACTTATCCAGTTAGTACTATACAGTATACATACATACAGGAGAAACTCAGACTTGAATCTAAGTTTCCGAACCCTGGTAGATGCTAGATACACAACCATAAATCTAAACCAAGAACCAGAACCTCCCTACAGACTGTATCTGTACAACCAGACAACGCTAGGCAATTCAGTTCATTTTACTTACTTCTTGAATATTGGTTCTATAGTTAGTTCTGGGATGTCTCCTCTAGAATGTGCTAGAAGGCTCGCAACTGTGTTCTTTTTCGGTTTTACTGAAGGATTTCCTCGTCCTAGATTTCTCCATTTTCCGTCCTAAAAATATGGACATTTGAAAGGGACTTTCACAGATCAATAATTTGTAAGATATTGTCGTTTTTTCTAACAACAAAAGTGTTAAATTTAAACAATCATTGAAAATAACCAATTTATAAAGAGAAATGATTGAATGTCTTAATCATCAAACAAAGCTTTTAAGGGTACTGTTGTGAATTTGACATGTCACTCTATAAAAAGAGTTTAACTTGAAATTGCGTTTTGAGTCTCTTTGAACAAAATACTTTAAAGACATGTATATTGTAAATGTAAATACAACCTTTTAAAATACAAAAATGTCTCGACATAAAATTCAAATTCAAATTTTAAAATAGCAGGTATCTAATGTCCAGTATTTCTCGAAAGTAAACATCGTAATATCATTTCTCACATTTTAAATAAAAAACATTATTTGAATATCTGATCGAATATTTACGAGGGTTTATAAAATTAAAAATACAAAGTTTAGTTTGTTATGCCCCTTGACCCAAAAATAGTGATTCGGAAAAAAAAGATTTTCTTTAAAAAGTAGAATCAAAAAGGATTAAGTCTTTGCCACAAACTCTGATTTTCTACCCCTTATACCGAATGTTGAATGAATTCTGGTTTGCACCATCAAAGTGCAAAGATATGGGGATTCGAAAATTTGAGTTTTTGGCAAAGGCTCAATTCCTTTATCTGAATTCAGAACCTACCAGACGCGTAATCTATTTTTTTCCCCCTGTTTTAAATAATATTGATCTTTAAATTCTATCTAAAAATTTTTTTAATATTTTTAATATTTTACATTTTTAATATTTTCCTTGAACTGAAGTTGACAAAAACAACTTGTTTTGTTTAAAAATTAAAAGTTAAAAATAAAGTACTTCTTTGATCTTTACTTATTCCAAGAATATATTCATGTTGAAATCTATATGGTGGGGATGACGCGCCCCGAATTTGTTGTAAAATTACCATTTCATCGTCTTCCATCCTTCCTCCCAAAGACTGATCGGCCTGCAACCTGCCCAGGCTTAGTAGCGCCTGCATAGCTGTTAAACTGCTCGGCTAAAAAAGAAACCAGTTGATTCAGGTTTTTGGGGGACGACTGGACTCCATATCTAGTTTTGGGGGAAGACTGGACTCCATATCTAGTTTTGGGGGACGACTGGACTCCAAATCTAATTTTAAATAGTTCATTTAACATCAAACATAGCAATTAACAACATTTCAATTAATAATGAGTTTCAAACTAGTAGTAAAACTATTTGGTTTTAACTACATGAAAAAAAAACAATTATAAGGATACACCACTGGATCTATTTTAAGGATACCACTGGATCTATTTTAGGGATATACCAATGGGTCTATTTTAGGGATATACCACTGGATCTATTTTAGGGATACACCACTGGATCTATTTTAAGGATACTACTGGATATATTTTAAGGATGCACCACTGGATCTACTGCTGATAAATCTGTTAATATTAATGATATACCTGTAGATGTTTATGAAGCTGTGATGCTAGCCACTGCTGATGAATCTGTTAATATTAATGATATACCTGTAGATGTTCATGAAGCTGTGATGCTAGCTACTGCTGATGAATCTGTTAATATTAATGATATACCTGTAGATGTTCATGAAGCTGTGATGCTAGCTACTGCTAATGAATCGGTTAATATTAATGATATACCTGTAGATGTTTATGAAGCTGTGATGCTAACTGCTGCTGACGAATCTGTTCTGCTAGAAATACTCCGCTCAAAGCTTCACCTAGATTATTAAAAATATGATAACAAAAATAAATGTAAAATATTTTTTTTAAGTTTTATTTTCAAATATACAATATATACAAATATTACCCGCCTTACCCAAATATTACTCGCCTTCTACCCAAATATTACCCTCGTTCTACCAAAATATTACCCGCCTTCTACCCAAATATTACCCGCCTTCTACCCAAATATTACCCGCCTTCTACCCAAATATTACTCGCCTTCTACCAAAATATTACCCGCCTTCTACCCAAATATTACTCGCCTTCTACCAAAATATTACCCTCATTCTACCCAAATATTACCCGCCTTCTACCCAAATATTACCCGCCTTCTGCCCAAATATTACCCGCCTTCTACCCAAATATTACTCGCCTTCTACCCAAATATTACCCGCCTGCTACTAAAATATTACCCGCCTTCTACCCAAATATTACCCGCCTTCTACCCAAATATTACTCGCCTTCTACCCAAATATTACCCGCCTTATACCAAAATATTACCCGCTTTCTACCCAAATATTACACGCCTTGTACGCAAACAAAACCCGCCTTCTACCCAAATATTGCCCGATATTTGTATGCTATAAGCTGACAAAAACAGAGAATAGTGTGGGTTGGCCTGTATTCTTGTCCATATAGTCTATATCTATATAATAAAGATCTTCGCTTCTTGTATATATGTGAGATATAGCTCACCAAACGGCTTGACCGAATTGACTAAAACTATTTGAGGGAACCCATTGAGTAACATAAATTTAAAAAATTCAACATTTATTTTTTTTAATTAAATTTATTTAACTCCACGGGCAACGCCGGGCACTTCAGCTAGTAGTTTTTATTTTAACATGTACTTTAAACAGTATATAATATAATATATATATTATATAGTATATATAATATTGTATATATATTATACAATATACAACAATGCAGTCTTTTATCAACATTGCTTCAGGCAAAACCAAGGCCAAACAATCTTTCAGGGAGGATTTTTATTGTATATTTCGAGTGTGTAGGACAAATTTTGCAGGAAAACATTGCCAGGGGGGGAGGGGCTCAGTGCCCCCCGTTAAAACTTCTAGGAAAGAATAAATGTATCCTAAAATTATTATCGAATCATCCCATAGTAGATCCTTGTTTAAAGGGACTGTGAGCGTAATATTCAGGTGACCCTCCATACAAAGATGACAATGCTTGATTCACAGCGTGAGCTTCTGTATTGCATGTATTTTTGTATTAAAATGTTCTGTAAAGATTGAACAATAAGGAAGAAAGCTTTTATATATGATAGAAGAATGAAAATGAGATTTATCTAGCGAGAAAAAAAGAATGTTTTCGACGCATTTATTCTCTCTGCAGAGAAATACTTTCTAACAAATTGTTCCCAAAAAGTAATCTTTTAAAAATTAAACTGAAAGGGGCTGACAGCAAAAGTCCAAGTAAACTTTCAAGCAAAGATGACAATGTACGATTCACAACGGCACCCTTGAAACCTTTATCTGATAATTTCTGGGTTTAAAAGTGTTCAATTCTGATAAATTATTTATGGTTTCTTGCAGTAGAAATGCGCAAGTCGCTTTTGTAGTAAAACCACAATTTTTAAAATAATAAGCAAGGATATATAATTTAAACTTAATCAGACAAAGCTGTTCAGGGTACTGTTGTGAATCGGAAATTGTCATCTTTACGTAAAGGGCCAATCGAATTTACGCTTGAAGTCCCTTTAAGTTTAAACATTGTGTATTTTGAAGAACTCATGTCGACGTATGAATAAATATCGAATAAAAAGAAATCCTTATCAATTTAATTCAGAACATAATATTGATAAAGAATTCAACTCTTAACTTTTACAATTTTCCTACAAAATGTTTAACTTTAACTCTCAATTCGGACAAATAACACCGTGAACCAGAGAACATGCTTGTCGTCTTCTATTTTATTTTAATTATGAAATGTCGCTGAAGGTTTCGTTGGCTATAGTTGCAACAATTGTTAACTACAAAATGCTTGAAGACTGTGTACGCATTATTTTAACTTACACTCCATTAAAACAAAATTAAAATGAAGCGTTTCTAACTTACTTGCGTAGTAATCGGATTTATCTGGAGATTGTTCAGATTTCATTGAAAGGTTTAGAGGTGTCTCTCCCCCCCTCTCTCCTCCACCTCCCCTCTCATCGTCATCGGCATTCGTTTGTTTACTCTTCAGATCTAGTGCTCCGTTCCTAAATTATTATCCTGATTAAATAATTAAGGGACGCGTTATTTTAGCAGTTCACAAGGCACATTAAATCAGTAGAAATGATTCATTGGAGGTACTGTCCCATTCTGCTAGGGTGTATGTATTCTATAATAATTCTAGTTTTCAGTGCCTATATACTTCAAGATGTCATCCAAACTGCACCCCCCCCCCCCATTATAATAATAATAATAATAATAATGATCTAACAGATAAAAACACTTTGAAGGGGTGAAGGTGAAGGATAAGAAGAAATGGTGAAGGGGGTTTAAAGGGGGAAGATGTTGAGGAGAATCTTGTTTTGGAACTAGTTTTCTAAACCTGTGATTCATGTTTAAGAATTTTATAAAGTCTTCAACATTAAGTTCTGTTTTGCGAGAGAAAATGTTAAGAGTGAGAATATTAGAGTAAATAGTGAGAATTCATGATAATATCTGGACACACACACAGGAATATTAGGACAGAAACACAAGAATATTAGGACACAAACACAAGAATATCCGGACACAAACACAAGAATATCCGGACACAAACACAAGAATATCCGGACACAAACACAAGAATATCCGGACACAAACACAGGAATATCCGGACACAAACACAGGAATATCCGGACACAAACACAAGAATATCCGGACACAAATACAGGAATATCCGGACACAAAAACAATAATATGCGGACACAAACACATGAATATTCTTACAAAAACACAAGAATATCCGGGCACAAACACAGGAATTTCCGGAACAAACACATGAATATCCGCACACAAACACAAGAATATCCGGACACAAACACAGGAATATCCGGACACAAACACAGGAATATTCGGACACAAACACAAGAATATCCGGACACAAACACAGGAATATCCTGACACAAACACATGAATATCCGCACACAAACACAAGAATATCCGGACACAAACACAGGAATATCCGGACACAAACACAAGAATATTCGGACACAAACACAAGAATATTCGGACACAAACACAGGAATATTCAGACACAAACACAAGAATATCCGGACACAAACACAAGAATATTCGGACACAAACACAGGAATATCCGGACAAACACAAGAATATCCGGACACAAACACAGGAATATCCGGACACATACACAGGAATATTCAGACACAAACACAAGAATATCCGGACAAACACAAGAATATTCGGACACAAACACAAGAAAATCCGGACACAAACACATGAATATTCGGACACAAACAAAGGAATATCCGGACACAAACACAAGAATATCCGCACACAAACACAGGCATATCCGGACAAAAACACAAGAATATCCGCACACAAACACAGGAATATCCGCACACAAACACAGGAATATCCGGACACAAACACAGGAATATCAGGACACAAACACAGGAATATTAGGACACAAACACAATAATATTCGGAAACAAACACAAGAATATCTGGACACACACACAGGAATACAGAATAGCGAACACACATTCATTCGAAATTTAAAGTGACTCTAAGCGTAATTTCAAGTCACCCTTCATAAAAAGATGGCAATACCCGATTCACAATGGTACCCTTGAAACCTTAATTTGATCAATAATGTTGACGATGTTGTCGTTTTCCTAGGTTTAAAAGTGTTTAGTTATGATAATTCCTATATGTTTTCCTGCTGTAGAAATGCGTCAGCGTAAGTCACTTTTGTAGTGAAACCACAATTGAAAATTATCAGTTTTCAAAATCATAAACTTTTATATATAATCCATACTTGATCAGACAAAACTTTTAAGGGTACCGCGGTGAATCGAACACTGCCATCTTTACATTAAAGATCACATGAAACTACGCTTACAATCCCTTTAATCTGATTTATTAGTAGAAATGAAAAAAATATAAGAAACTAATCTTAGATCATAAAAAAAAAATGTCATAGCCCATGNCCCCCCCACCCTGTCCCTATATGCCCTAACATTTTGAATCCTAAATACATTTGCACATAGCTGAGTAGTTTTAGCTGCAGTAGTGCTATATAGAGAATATACTGCAGAACTTTAAACTAGAGATTTTCTCTCTGAGCCATCCTTCATTTAAAACTTAACCTAACCTTTAATAGATCAATAAAAATATAACAAACGGATTGGTTATTTGCCACAAACTCTGATATTCTAATCACTATATCTGTGCAACCTTATATCGCAGACCTTTGATATTTCAAACTATGAATATGTGATCAAAAAATCTAAATTTTAAATATCAAATGTTGAAAAGAATTAGGGATTAGAGTTTGTGGCAATTACTCAATTTTTTTTACCCTGACAGAAGACGTTAAATCAAAATGATTATTTAGCAAAAGTCATTAAACGATTTTTCCTAATTGTTTTATTGTTATTTTTGGTAATATTTCCTAATTTTTTATATTGTTATTTTTGGTAATATTTCCTAATTGTTTTTATTGTTCTTTTTGGTAATATCTCCTAATTGTTTATATTGTTCTTTTTGGTAATATTTCCTAATTGTTTATATTGTTTTTTTGGTCATATTTCCTAATTGTTTATTTTGTTCTTTTTGGTAATATCTCTCCGGCCCGTCGCGTCTGCAAGCAGGCATTTAGCAAAATTTCAGAAAATATGTTTTTCATTAGTTCAAGACGAAGCTTTTTATTTTTAAGCTTTGTCGATTCTAAGAAAACCTTTCATTAATGAAAAATGACAAATCCTTAGATATTCTTTACTCAATACAAATCAATATACATATCAAACCTAAAATGTCGGGAATGTCATACCCAGTCAATTTTTATGTGTAGGGGGGCCGTGAGGGATGAGGGGGGATATAAGATATATAAAGGTTTCTGCATAGTAAACAGAGCAGTATATATATATATAATATATATATTATATGCATAGATTAGAACTGGAAGATTGGAAAGTAAAAGGAAACATGATTGATTATTCAGAAGAGGAATACAACAAAGATTCTTTTACAAAACTTAAACAAATCCCCCTTCCACCTCTCACATACTGTAAACATACTATATAGATGGACATTACCGATTAACAACAGTACCCTTAAGCAAGTGCAGAAATAATTGACAATATCTTCCAAAATTAAAAAGATCAAGTTTATTGGGTACCGTTTTGTGAATTGGGCATGCCCGACAGTCCCTTTATATTGTTCCAAATCTTGAAACCTTACCTATAGTAAGACCGGTAGGGAGGGAGAGTAAAGGATTCGAATATAAACTATCCGTTGAACCCTTCCTTCCTCTCAATATTTCAGTATCAGCAGGTAGTTTAATATTCTCCATTGCACTAGTAGGCGTGGCTAAGGACCGGGGCGGGTCCTTCCTAGGGTTGTGAGATATAGCTCCGAACCCACCCATACCCTGGAGAGCCTGGAGTCTGCTTAGGTACTCTAGGTTCTCATCCGTCTTCTCCCCCTGCAACCTGAACACAAATAGGATTAAATATCAGAATAAAATTGTACTCTCCAATTAAGATTTTTCTAAGTGGTGTTAGAATCACGGAAAATATTAAAGTGATTTCCAATCCCATCTGAAGCTCAGCTTCAGTGTCTGGACTTAACATTTATATTTCCACGTGTAAACTTGATATCCGCAGTGTAAACTTGATATCCGCAGTGTAAACTTGATATCCACTGTGTAAACTTGATATCCACTGTGTAAACTTGATACTCACGGTGTAAATTTGATATCTACTGTGTAAACTTGATATCTACTGTGTAAACTTGATATCTACTGTGTAAACTTGATACCTACTGTGTAAACTTAATATCTACTGTGTAAACTTGATATCCACAGTGTAAACTTGATATCTACTGTGTAAACATGATATCCACTGTGTAAACTTGATATCCACTGTGTAAACTTGATATCTACTGTGTAAACTTGATATCCACAGTGTAAACTTGATATCCACAGTGTAAACTTGATATCCACAGTGTAAACTTGATATCCACAGTGTAAACTTGATATCCACAGTGTAAACTTGATATCCACAGTGTAAACTTGATATCCACAGTGTAAACTTGATATCCACAGTGTAAACTTGATATCCACTGTGTAAACTTGATATCCACAGTTTAAACTTGATATCCACAGAGTAAACTTTAATAAAGAAAGTTTACTCCACTAAGTGATAGTTTATAAAAAAGATAATTAGCGTCAAGTTGAACTTTTGAGGGGGACTGAGCGCTGCAGCTCCTGATTAGAGATACAAAAGTATCAACCTTATGTTAATTTTTTCTCAGCCTTGGATTTCGATCCGAAACCAGTCAAAGATACTGGTTTACCCACAAAGAAACTCTGGAAACTTTTTTTTTAAAAATCTGATATATAAATTTGTTCTTTCCTCTCAGATAAAGTCTATCAATGTTAAACAAAATGACTTGACAAAGAAACGTCCAAGTTAGTATCTGCAGTTTCCATACAATCGAACTGGAATTTTTATCTTTTGTGGGTAACCTTTTATTATAAAGAAATAAATAAACGAAATTGTTTTTGTTTTTTAACTTTTATTTTATTCTGTTTGCTGTATCAACTTTTATTTAAAAATTCAAAGAATAATATTATAAAGAGGAAGACAGAAAAATTACTATCTAATCACTATAGCGCCTTTATGCGACCGATTTTAAGTTTGTAATGTATTTTAGAATGAAAAATAAGAAATGTTGTGGAGTGTTTAAACTATATATGTTCATGTGGGGGTGGGCCAGGGGGGGGGGTAACAAGAGAGGATTGAATATCAAAGTAAAATAGATTCTTTACTTGATTTTCAGCATATATCAAGTTTATTTGATGCCGCCGACTTATCGACCTTATATCCCAAACGTAAGGAAAAAAACTTGTTCGGTTGCAATTAAAGGTATTTAAAAATTAAAAATAAATTTAAAAATCATTTATGTTAAAGAACAACGAAAAAATAAAACAAAATTCCAGTAATTTTAGAGAAAAATCACTTTTGTTTGAAAAATGTAAAACCATGAATAATAAAAAAATAAGAATAATGATAATGATACTGATAATGATAATTACAATGATAATAATAATACCTTGATAAATAATCCATAGGAGATGAGTCCCTAGCTGCTGCCTGTATTCTTGAAAGATAATCTTGGGTAGCCAGCTGACTAGCCATACTCCACCATGCTGCACCTATGGGAATAATGATAATGATAATGATAATGATAATGATAATGATAATGATAATGATAATGATAATACACAAATAATCTAAACAATTTTTTTTTAAACACAAAACAATCATTGGAAAAATCTTGAACGAAAAAGAAAAATCATGATTATGTAAAACTTACTTGCAGGGTTCAAGCCTAGACTCTGAGCCTGCGAGGCTGCAACCCCTAGGGTGGAGGACGGAGGTAGTGGAGAGGATGAAGGTGAGGAGGCTGTAGAGACTGTTAAACCAGGATATCCTCCGTACCCTCCGTACATTCCGCTCATACCGTACAGTGCTGAAACAAGTACAGTTAGTACAGACCTGAGATTCTAAATGTATTTGTAAATACCGAACATCCTTAAGCTTGAGTCTTGCTGACTCCCGGTTCTCTGGAATTGAGTCTAATGCTCTGTTTACCTTAATATGAAGGCATCTAATTGGTTGTACAGAATTATAATTCGGCCAATGATAAATGGGCGTTCAAATCCTTAGATTTGTAAAGAAATTGAGTTTTTCGAGTCTTCACCACAACTTAAAATTTTCTAATCCTTATTTTTTGCAACCTGATAGTGCAAACCTTAGAATTGTCATACTTAGATTATTTGATCCAACAGAATTCATATTTCAAAATATCTAAGGTCTACGACACTGGGTTGCTAAGATAAAGACAATTTTAGTTTGTGGCATGAACTCAGTCAGGAAATTTCAGCTTTGAACCGATTGTTTTTAACTAAACCCGAGTCTAGCTAAAACTAGCTCGGTTATCTCCCCCCGGTCATCAAATGTCTAAAGAGAGGTGAAATCTCCTCGGAAAATTAGGAAAAATATCGAATATTTTTAAGAAACATTCATCTTCAGTAAACATGAAATATTGAACATCTGTCACAAAATGTAGATCAAAAGCTGAACCTTTTTAATTATACGGCAGAAAGCTCAACGTAGCTTCGTTGTAAAATGAATGTTTATTTCGCCGCAAACTCTTATTTTCAAATCTTTCCTAGCTTACGGTTTAAACCTTTGATATTTCAAGCTTTAACTATTTAATCTAGCAGAATAAATAGTTTGAAATATCATGTGCAACGTAGAGCGTTACAGGAGTTTATCCTGTATACGTCTCTGTTTTCTTTCCAGGGAGGGGGGGAGCTCAGTGCCCGTTTTAGGACCTTAAACTATGAATTTTAGGGATGCCCAGAGGGCCGGGAGGGAGGGGGTGGCTGAGCTCCATTGTCCCCTCTTTATGCACATACAAGTGCAGCATCAGTTTGTAAAGATAAAAATCTTTCGGGAGAGCCCTAAAGGCATTTAATTTTATTAAATAAAGGATCTTTAAAAACAAAAGAAATGTTTTAACATTTTGAAAAATTAAAAAATCAATCTTCGGTGTGAATTAAAAACTGGAGAGGTAATGTGGTGACATTATGTAAACAGTTAAACTAATTTCGCATGAAATTAACTTCTTCCTCATGTTGAGCTTGTAGTCATCACACATTTTTTTGAGGAAAATATATTTTTTTTATGTCAGAGCATGACATTTTGGAAATCTCGCCTTTAAAAAAAATACTTTGAAGGCTTGCTTTTAATCATAAATACGTAAAAATGAGTTAATGAAAACGGCTTCGAATTTTAAAAAAGATGGTTTCATTTAAAATGTTAAAAACTTCTAGATGACAATTCCTTTCTTCAAGAAATCGAAAAGATAGATAAAGATATTATAATTCTCAATCCAAGATCTAGAAAAAAATGGAAGATAATTTTTTTCTTTATCTCTTCAGACCAACGTTCGATTTACTTTCTGCAATATCGAATTAATCATCTTTACTTTTTTAAATTCATTTTTTAACTTCAATCTCCCCCCCCCTCCCCCGTTGCCACATCGTTTTGTCGGGTTCCCTTTAAAGAGAATTAGAAGAGAAGGTTCCACTTTTAGAAATATACACTATAAGGTTGCTCTGGAAAAAGATTAAATGGAATTCTTAGAAGAAAAAATAATCATCTTATTAAGAAAGGCAGTTCATGAGAAAAAAAATTTAAAATCTAAAAACGAAATATGGAATCAATAATTCTCAGTGAACAATTTCATGTGGGGGAAATGTAAATAACGCGTTACACTATCACAGTTGAAGAATTTTTGGTCTTATTGATTGAGCTGAACTGCGTTTACAAAGTTGAAACAAATCTGTTTTGCTTGGCACAGCGGACAAGAGAATTGGTTCAACTAAGTTTATGCGATTCAAATACTTTTCATTAGATCTTACCCTAGGATCCATAAAACTGTGGAATAAAAAGATAACTAAATATAGACTCAAATTATAATTCTAACAAGTCCAATGAACATGAAACTTACGCAGTGTACACTAAGACCAAGATCACTTAAAGGGACTGTCAAAATTATACCAAAACGAATATATGTATATATAAAATTCGTAGTATTAAACAGATCATATTCAACAAATACGCAACCAATCTGAAAACGACGATATCCCAGAGGAGTCTTAGAAACTCAGGTGTGCTCCTATTATTATTTGAATTTAATCATTTTTAAATTTTAATAGATATAATTGTATAATTGATAATATTATTTATACGTCCGGACCACGTCACCAGCACCAGTATTATTGTCACGTGCCTCCGTCTGGATCACGTGACCAGTATACTGCACTGGCATTGGAGGGAGTTCTGGTCACGTGATACGAGTGTACATCTTACATATAAACGTTTTGGTATAATTTTTAAACAGTTGTATGCCAATTTCTCGAGACAGGAACATCAGATAGATGTATTATAGGTATCGTTAAACTCCTTAGATTCTCAGGTTTAAGCCTATACCCCTTTAATTTTTCCCTTACAATCCCTTTAATAAACTGAATTCAAACTTTCAATGACATCAAATACAAATAATATTGCTTTTTTTACAGTGTTAAAGGTAACATTGTAGATGAATAAACAAAAGCTATAAGAAATGTTCCCAAGCTTTCAGACCTTCTTGGCCTGAGAACAAACAAATAAATCATAAATGTATCTTTATTCTAATCTGAAGAAACATGATAAAATTATCCATAATATTCAGGGGCATATATGTATTTTAAAAATATTTTTTTACTTCATATTGCCCTGCCACCCCCCCCCCCTGCTGGTCAAAATCTTTAACAACACGCCTGTTCGTTTTTATTCATTATTTCCACTTAAAATACTTACACAACAGAGCTTGTGGATCAAATTGGTTGGGTTGGGCTGCTCCGCCCCCAGCTGCTCCGCCTCCGGCTGCCCCGCCCTCTTCTCGCCCTGTATCAGCCATGTCTGACTAATAAAGTTCACATTCTGAAAAATATTTAAAATTAGAAAAAAATGGTTTAATCGCGTTTAAGACTGGAAGCAGTTGGGCTGCATAAACCTAATTTATCTACAGCAACAGCAACCCAGATTCACATAACAATATTTCCCTTTATTTCCTGTAATGCCATTTTAATTCATAAAGATTTCAATAATATTCGATGTCTATAACATGGATTTCATAATAGGTTAAATATCGAAAAATTTGAAAGGTATAAATTAAACCTACGAATAAATCAATGTTCTCTCATATTCTCCAGTCCCCCCCCCGGGTCTCCTTGTCCTTTTCAGAATAGTTCTTTGTCATCAGTTTAACCATATGCCAGGTTAGAAACTTGGATCAGGCAACTTTTTTCCCTTTGACTCGCTTTAAAAAAAACCTTAGTCAAAATTTTATATACCCCCCCCCCCCCCCCCCACGTTATTCACTGTTTGAAAAACCTTGCAGTAGTGTTTTATCAATAATAAAACTCAAAATTATTACAATTTTATCTATACTCAGATAAATGTCTAACTAGTATACCCTTCCGATTAAAAAAAATCTAGGGTTTTAAAGGAATTGGTTTTCCAATCCCAATATTTTTGCAAATAAATTTCGTCGTCCTTAGATATTTTAAACTTAAGACTATTTGATCTAACAGAATTCATAGTTTGAGGCCTCATGACGACCCTATAAAGATTTAGGTATTAATTGTGGCAAAAACTCAGTTCAGTTACGTTGATATTCATCTTTAAAAAATGTGTTGAAGAAAACGAGTATATCTAATTAAAAGACGCAAATCATTTTAAATTATTCTAAAACCAGTTTCATAATTATTCTTTGTTCAATTCATAATTTACGAATCATGTACAACACTGCATGCACAGTGTTTTCTGAAAATATCAAGAATACAATAGAATTTGGAATGCCATGTTTAAAATTTTTAGAGATAAGCGGGAAAAAAAATTGTCATGCTATTTTTTTTAATAACAATTTTTTTTAATTAAAATTTTATAAAAAATGTAAAAAATACAATAGAAAAATGTACAAATTAAGTTAAACTTTTGAGAAAAAAAAATACTTTTTGCAAACACAAAATTTTTTGTCTTTTAATTAATCGCAAAAATACTAAAATCTAAAGTATAAATAAATTTCGTGTCCTTATGTAAAATTTCAAATTTCTATAACAAATTATATTTTATAAAAATCGTAGTTAAATCAACTCCGGCTCAGATACATAATAATAATATAATACATTATAAGTATGAAAGGTTATTGTGTACACAGTAGTGTACCCTAATAAGTGATAAGGCCTGAGCCTAAAACAATTCAAATCCTTTCCTTCCAAAATTTAGCCGCGCCATTTTGTTCCGTAACTTTTAAAAATCGATATAGGTTAGACTAGGACACATAAATCTCACTAGAAGGGGGGAAATCAATTATTGTACTGCATGGTTTTGACTAATACAGTCAAAATGTAAACTGTACTTGCTCTGGCTGCCAAGAAGTCCAATACTTCAAATGAACAAGAGTGGTAAAACAGTAAAACATGAAAAATAATGAAGGCAATAAAATATTTTAAAAACTACGAAACCAAGAGTTTTCGCCAAAAAAATCGAAATTTCTCATCCCTCTAATTTTGCACCTTGATGGTGTACACCTTTGATATTTCAAACTAAGATTATCTGAAGTTTTAGAATTCATTGTTCAAAATATCGACATCAGAGCTTTTGGCAAGAATTAATTTCCAATTCAAAAAACGGATTCTAGGAAATTTTCTTAAATACCCATGCAAACCTAAGACACTTTAATAAACCTTCATATATAGCTGTATTTTAAAAATCTTCATGTCGACATTAAAGTCTCATGCTGTGTGAGTAGCCCTGTATCAGAAATATTACAGCAATCGCATCCAAGGAATTTCCGGTGTAAAAATTTTTGAAATAATAAGATTTCTTTTTCAAACATTTTGAATTTTAAATTTTAAATTTTTAGACAAAATTTTTAATACAATTAAATATTTGAAATATTGGAGAAAATTTTAAAATGTTAAAAGAAATTTAATTAAAATAAACTTTTGTAGATTTCATGTTCTTTTATAAGGTCGGTCACGTCTGTAAGACGTGGGAGGGGGGGTGGTTAAGTAGATAAAAAATTTTACATTAGATAGTTGAAACCAATACATATCTATTTGAAAATACCATCTATATTATTCAAAAATTACTCTTATACTTCCTTGCATGGTTTCTCAGTTAAATCATTAGAAAAGAGTTTAATGAATAATACTAAAGAGAATACTAACTTAATATCGATGTGAAAGTAAATGAAAATAATGGAAATATTAAATCGTAAAATTAAAGAGTTTCAAATTTAACAAATTACTGAAAATGCGCAAAACATTTTTCATTTGAATAACCACAATTTTAGTAAAGATCATTTATTTTTCTGGGTGTTAACAAAGGTAGAAGAATGGCTTAAACTTTTTGGTATTTAGGCGTTTTGCATTCACTCAGTGTAAATTAAGAAAGGAATAAAAACTATGTTCCTTTAGAAATTTGGTTCTGAGAAAAGGAAGAGAGAGAGAGAGGGGTTTGGATTGTAGATAATATAGAAACCACAGAGAGGGATTCAGACCAGACCCTGCTCCAGGATACAGATAGAACAGGGTATAGATAAATAGATAGATAGACAACAGTTCAAACAAATATTTGAAATTTTGATCATTCATAAACCTTCCCTGGGCTCCCTAGATGTCCCACACAAAATTTGGGCCCGATCGGTTCAGCCGTTTGGACGTTTATTGGATACAAACAAACAGACAGACAGACAGACAGACAGACAAGCCAAATTTATATATAGATTCTTATCAAAAGTTCAAAACTAATTTCTACCCCTTCCCCTTAAAATGTTTGAAACCATTTTTACCATAAAAATATTATCGAATTTTCCGCAAACTCAAATGTTCTCTTTGCAACCTGATTGTGGACATTTTTGATATTTTAAACTTAAATCATTTGTTCCAACAGACTTAATAGTTTACAATATCTAAGGACTATGACATTTGACAGATATAGAGATTAGAAAATCCAAATGTGCGGGAAAGACTCAATTCCTTTACATTTTCAATATTAAAATATTTCAAGTTATCCTCCATGCAAAGATAGCATTGGCAGATTTAGAACGATAGCCTTGCAAATCAAATTCTGATAAATAAAAATCTTAACTCTAAAAATGTTTAATTCTGCTATTTTAACAATTATTTCTTATAAGTAAGAAATGCGCAAGTCACTTTAGCAGAAAAATGACGATTAAAAAATAAAAAATTTAATTTTTTTAAATGGACTGAAGGGTGACTTAATGCTAATAGTTCCTTTAGGTAGTGTTTACAGGACTTTAAGCTTATCTTACCTTAAATACAATGAATCTGCATCATACTTGCGAACATACAGAGTAGGGCTTGGAATGCTAATAGTTCCTTTAATGCTAATAGTTCCTTTAGGTAGTGTTTACAGGACTTTAAGCTTATCTTACCTTAAATACAATGAATCTGCATCATACTTGCGAACATACAGAGTAGGGCTTAGGAATGCAGTGTAGAATATAATTATTCAAGTCTAGAGGTTTGACAGGAGGAGGGGGGGGGGCGTGAAAATATCATATTTTGCATTGACGTGCTTCAATTGAAAACTATTCTTTGTACAAAGAGCCGTTATTAGTTTTGACGAATTTTATTTCATTTTTAGTATTTCCCATTTTGATAATTATTTTCAAATTTTATAATTTTAACAGAATTTTTTTAATAAATCATTACTCAAGATGTATAAAGGAGGGGAGGGGAAGGGGATGATGGTAGCCCCCCCCTCCCTTGATTTTTTTGCTTTTAATGTTTAAAGCTAACTTAAAAAGATTAGAAAACGTGACAATCCATATCTAAAACTGGAATTCCTATGATAATACAAATACAGTAATGTTTGATTTGCTTTTTACATAAACTATTTCAAATCAAGTTTGCATTATTTTGCATTATTTTGCTTTATTTTGCTTTATTTTGCATTATTTTGCATTATTTTGCTTTATTTTGCTTTATTTTGCATTATTTTGCTTTATTTTGCATTATTTTGCATTATTTTGCATTATTTTGCATTATTTTGCATTATTTTGCATTATTTTGCATTATTTTGCATTATTTTGCATTATTTTGCATTATTTTGCATTATTTTGCATTATTTTGCATTATTTTGCATTATTTTGCATTATTTTGCATTATTTTGCATTATTTTGCATTATTTTGCATTATTTTGCATTATTTTGCATTATTTTGCATTATTTTGCATTATTTTGCATTATTTTGCATTATTTTGCATTATTTTGCATTATTTTGCATTATTTTGCATTATTTTGCATTATTTTGCATTATTTTGCATTANGCTGCATTGATGAAAACCCAGGGTAATTGCCGGATAAGGTAAGGACGGGCGATGGGGTCTAGAAGTTTAAAACTAAATCTAAAATGGATTTTTATAATTTAACGGGACTAAGCTTAGTTCTATAAATTTGAAAACATTTATCTCACTTTCTGTGACGTTATGAAATCATGGTGCTCCGTAACCTTCTTATCAGACGTGGGACTGTAAAAGCGTCAATAATATAATAAATGAACATAAAACTGATGTATCTAAAGTATACACAATGGGGTAAAAATACAAACCCTTTAAAACGTTGGACTATGAGACAATTTCCCAATTAGAATAGTTTAGAATAGTTTAGAATAGTTTAGAATAGTTTAGAATAGTTTAGAATAGTTTAGAATAGTTTAGAATAGTTTAGAATAGTTTAGATTAGTTTAGAATAGTTTAGAATAGTTTGGAATAGTTAAGAATAGTCTAGAATAGTTTAGAATAGTTTAAACTAGCTCAGGATGGGTTAGAATAGTTTAGAGTAAACATTAAACTTTAAAAAATTTCAGGTTTAAAATTGAAAATGTTTAAAGTCGGGTTAGAATTTTAGATTTGAATAGTTCAACGGTTCTTGAAGGGAATTTATGGGTTCCTGCTTTTAGACTGGATTTAGTTTGAATTCGAATAATTTGAGTTTTATATGAAAAACTTTATGTTGGCCCGTTGGGGTTATTCCATCTTGATTTATCTAAATATATCCAGAGAATTTGAGCCGCGGTTTAATTTGAGACGCGGCTCAAATATGGTTGGTTTCACTTAAAATTGTATTCAATGTTTCAAGATTTAAGCCGGCGCTCAATTGAAACCGGTTTTTGGCGGATTTGAGACGCGGCTCAAATTCGTTAAATTCGGACTCACATCTTTGCCGTGCAACTTTGGTATACATCCACCGAGAGCTGAAATATTGAAGTTTTAGCGCAAAAATCGGTCCGAACTTTTTTTAAGTGCCATAAATGTTTTTAATCTCCTTTCATTGAAGAGTTAGAGAGAACAACAAACGCATTTGAAATTTCTAGTATGCAACCAAATAAACGTGTGCGTAAAATCAAAACAGAGAAGCCACGAGGTCACAAAGTCGTAGGAGTAAACTCACTTACATTTGGTTATGTAAACTAAGATCAAGATATTGTTGTGAATATTTAAAGATAATCTTTATTTAAAATACAAACACTCGATCTTATGTTCTAAAAAACCTTAGCCATCCAAAACTCAAAAAGGAAAAATTTAAAAGGTTTACAATATAATATTTTTTATTCTTGCCGAGATGCAATTTAGCATCCATACCCGAATACCTAATTACCAGACCTGAATACCTAAGTTCACAAACACACCCAAATTTTGTACGTTTAGCAGTTAGGAACAGTATCTAGTAATTCTTAAATCCATACTGCACTGCTGTTTTAACCTTCGCATTTTTTAAAACAAGTTACGTGTTTCTTTCACGTACATTTTCCTTTCTTTAAAAAAAGTGGTCAACGTTGTTTTTTTTTATTCAACTTTGAACTCAATCTAGCTGTTCCGTCTTGGGCTAGAAATATCATTAACCGGTGGAGTGACAATTTAACCCCCCCCCCCTGCCCTCACCCCCTGATACCGAAGAATGGGCTGCAGTAAGCAGGGGTAGGATTGGAGGGAGTAAGGGAATGGGGGGGGGGGCAGGTGTGTACTAAACCCTAGAACTTTGATGTGAAACTAGTTTAAAGCAGGAAACTGAAATGAAACTGCTACAACATGAGAAATCCAGCTTTTAGACCTGTTCTAGTTCTATTTCTAGTTCTAGTTCTAGTTATAATCTAGCTTTTAGACCTGTTCTAGTTCTAGTTCTAGTTCTAGTTCTAGTTCTAGTTATAATCTAGCTTTTAGACCTGTTCTAGTTCTAGTTCTAATCCAGTCTGTAGACCTAGTTCTATTCTTTTTCTAGTTTAATTCCCAGCCTTTAGACCTATTCTAGCTCTAGATCTAATCAAGCCTTTAAACCTGTTCTAGTTCTAGTTCTAATCCAGCCTTTGGCCCTGTTCGAGTTCTAGTTCTAGTTCAGCCTTTGGCCCTGTTCTACTTCTGGTTCTAATCCAGCCTTTAGACCTGTTCTAGTTCTAGTTCTAATCCAGCCTTTAGACCTGTTCTTGAATTAGTTCTTATCCAGCCTTTGGCCCTGTTCTAGTTCTAGTTCATATCCCGCCATTAGACCTGTTCTAGTTCTAGTTCTAATTCAGCCTTTAGACCTGTTCTAGCACTAGTTCTTATCCAGCCTTTGGCCCTGTCCTAGTTTTAGTTCTAATCCAGCCTTTAGACCTGTTCTAGTTCTAATCCAGCCTTTAGACCTGTTCTAGTTCTAGTTCTAATCCAGCCTTTATATCTGTTCTAGTTATAATCCAGCCTTTAGACCTGTTCTAGTTCTAGTTCTAATCCAGCCTTTAGATCTGTTCTAGGTCTAGTTCTAATCTCGCCTTTAGACCAAGTTCTAGTTCTAGTTCTAATCCAGCCTTTAAGGGGGGGCGTTGAGAGGTTTTATCATGATAAAATGTGATATTGTTGTTTTGTCTCAAGGTTTAGGAGATATCAACCTGTATCCAGGTTTAGGAGATATCAGACTGTATCCAAGTTTAGGAGATATCAACCTGTATCCAGGATTAGGTCCAGAAAATGTAGGGTTTGAACTTGTATATAGGTTCAGGTTTAGAATATATGGTTTGATCTAGGTTAAGGATTGAGAAGAGAAATTAATATTCTCCGGTTTCTTAGATGGAATACTCTCATATAGAGACTAAACTCAACCTTGTTTACAGAGCTAGAGGGAGAGAGAGAGAGAGATAAATGGCAGATCTAAATAATTTCAAGAGAACTAGAAGGTTGGGAGGATATATAGGAGCGAAGAGAAGGTTGGAAGAATATATAGGAGCGGGGAGAGGGTTGGGAGGATATTTAGGAGCGGGGAGAAGGTTGGGAGGAAATGTAGGAGCGGAGAGAAGGTTGGCACGTTCTATAGGAGCGGAGAGAAGGTTGGATGGATATATAGGAGCGGTAAGTAGGTTTGGAGGATATAGGAGCGGGGAGAAGGTTTGGAGGATATATAGGTGCGGAGAGAAGGTTGGGAGGATATATAGGAGCGGAGAGAAGGTTGGGAGGATATATGGGAGCGGAGAGAAGGTTGGGAGGATATATGGGAGCGGAGAGAAGTTTGGATGGATATATAGGAGCGGAGAGAAGGTTGAGAGGATATATAGGAGCGGGGAGAAGTTTGGATGGATATATAGGAGCGGAGAGAAGGTTGGGAGGATATGTAGGAGCGGAGAGAAGGTTGGGAGGATATGTAGGAGCGGGAAGAAGTTTGGATGAATATATAGGAGCGGAGAGACGGAGAGAAGGTTTAGGGAAGATATGAACACAAATCTTATCAAAATAGAGTTCTAGGCTGAGCCCTGCCAACTGCACTGGGAACTACAGGACAAAGATAAAGTATATTTTTATCGAGACTAGAGAACTATATCTAGACTAGAGAACTATATTGATCTAGGATACATATCGATTATTACAGGATAATAAACCCAGAATCCTAGAGTTTAAAAGATAAGTTTGGTTCAACTAGATCTATGGGAGTATCCGGTCAAACTGGAATTTATACAGGGCGACTCACTAAACATGGAATTGAGAAAATTTCTTGAGTAGTAATTTTCTAATAATGTGATAACTGCGGTGCTAAAAATCAATGTAAGTATAGTGTGTACAATGTCCACTGTTATGTAAACAAATCATTAGAGGTTCTCAGTGGACGTACTTCTTGGCCAGACATGTTTACTAAACTAGACGTTACAGGGTAACCACAAAGGATAAAACTTCAGGGACGACTGTACGGAATTCATACTATTTAATTCATGGATCCCTGCAACTGTAAACTGGTTGCTTTCTTAACCAAATCATTAAATGAGCCTTTAAAAGACAATATTAACGACAGCAGACTTAAATTAACCTTGTAATAATCATATATGAAGAGTTTTGGTCGTCTTTACAGTCTCATCATTTGTGGGTATCCCTGTATTATAACAAGATACTAACTACACTCAACTGTTCAGGCTTCAAGTGTTTATTTTCTAATATTGATTTGTTTTATCTAAAAAAAACTTGTCTATACAGAATTAGTTAACAGACAAAGGGTTGTTTTACTTAACAACAGCTTTCTAACGAATACATATGTAATATGGCTATCAATTTCTGTACAATGTCTTTATTTCTAACAATCTATCTATCTATCTATCTATCTATCTATCTATCTATCTATCCATCTATCTATCTATCTATCTATCTATCTATCTATCTATCTATCTATCTATCTATCTATCCATCTATCTATCTATCTATCTATCTATCTATCTATCTATCTAAAGTATTCTTTAATCTGTACAGAACCTGGGCTATGAATGGAAGAGCGGTGAGTAATCTCTAGATGTCTGTCCCTAGAGTTAGACTAAATTCAATTTTAAACCTAAGAACAGCTGATCCCCCCCCCATTATAGTCTTTATTTAAACTAAGCGTCACTTCCCCCCCCCCCCCGCGATTGTACAGTCATATTTCTCACTCATTACGCTGAATTTAATCAAATTCTAATCTCACCATACTAATTTCTATATGCAGGTTATTACTGGAATGTATGAAGGAATATATACTTTATATAATCAATATATTTTCATCTAGAATATATTCACCTGGAGGGGTGGATAGATAGATAGCTCTTCTCTGGATAAAACTAAAGAAGGAAATCCATCTGCTAGCTTGATAGATAGATAGATAGACTGGAGTATATTTCCCCTGCTCCTCTCCTCCACACTAATCTTATATCTGTCTCTACCTGAATATATTCACTAAAACTGCACTTATCAGCTAGAGAATTGTATCACAATCCTTACACAGGTTTAATAATATCACTTGGTTATGCTATGTTGCCCCCCAACCAATGATTTCACAGGAAAATATCAATGAAAGGGTTTGGTTCTAATCCAAGAGAAACGGGACTCCGTCTCGACTCAAGGTTCGTGAACAACTGACTGAGAACAAAACTAAGTTGTGTATAGTGCAGAGCCCCAGTATAAGTCCGCGGTCGCTCTCTTCTCTACCAGCTGCCATGCGGGGAGAGAAGAGAAGCCTACAGAGAAATATCACCTGAATTTCAAAACATCTAACATGTGTAAACCTAAACTTCTCATCTTAAAGTCTAAGGATGGAAACAGAACTCATTAATGTAAACATTCTCCCGGAGACGCTTCAAACATTCATACAAAACTGCAGTTTTCTCCTGTACCTTACACAATACCCGGAGACGCTTCAAGCATTCATACAAAACTGCAGTTTTCTCCTGTACCTTACACAATACCCGGAGAATATTTGAACCTGAGTTTATAAACGTATTAGGGCGCAGTGAACCTTAATATAATGCAGAACCATGGAACCAGCTTACACCAAACCTTAAAATCATATTCTTATGCTAATGCAGGGGTCCCCAGAACTGAAGTGGAGAAAAAAGACGACATAAAATGCATTCAAATGTACAAATTGTACGTCCTAGTCTGATTGCTTAAAACGGTGTTTTTCCAAAATACAAATTTTAAATGAAAAAAAAATTTATTGAAAATGAACATTTGATTTTTTTTCTTCAAAATTCCACAATGTTATGATTACTTTGTTTAGCTCAGTCCTTCAAGGGGAGGAAGGTCAACAACATTTATCGTACAAGCCACATTCTCCTCATTTTCTCGTCCGTGCCACTTCGGAATCTTCTATTATTATGTTTTTAAACGTTTCCAATTCTCGAAGATAAACTATTTTTTTATCTGACTACATTAAGGCATAAAATATGGATGGACTAAAGTATTGCAATGATTACACATAGTAAATGCCCTACTCCATAAAGGTTTCTCGAACACATATCTATCCAGGTACAATTCAGTTCCACTTAGCTATCAATGTCTAAACCCGGAAACAATCTTGTCAGCTATCAATGTCAACCAGGGCACAAGCTTGTAATCAATCAACGCCAACTCACTGGATGTGATCAGCTATGAATTTCTACATAGACACAAGCACTTAATCGATCATTGCCAAGCCAATGGGCGCGATCAGCCATCAATTTCTACATATACACAAGCACTAAATCGATCATTGCCAAGCCAATTGGCACGATCAGCTATCAATGTCTACACAAGCACAAGCACGCAACTATCAATGCCAAATCAATGAGCACGATCCTCAACCTGTTTTTCAAAACAGGGAACAATTACTGTGTCACAGTAAACAGTACAAAGTCTCTATATCAACTCCTTATATTTCTCCAGTTTAGATTAGAATAGGGTCTTAACAGGGTAATTACAAGTTATGCGCTGTTTTATATAAAGTAGTTAAGCAATCACAATATGGTTTGATGGAGTTATATACATCTACACATACTGAATGGGGTAATGGCAATACAGGATTTAAGTATTTACAAGTGGGCACATTTAGCTTTAAGGACAATGTACAACATAATTTACTATGGGGCCTCTGTATTTGTTATATACATCATGTTTGAATCTTCAAACCCATGCGAGAATGATGTCAAACTTTATTGTGTAAAACTTAAATCTCTTCTGCCTCTGTAAGGGCTAACCTTCGCGAGGCATACCTCTGCCTATAATTTTTTTCATGGAACCTCCCGGAAAATTCTATGGTTTTCACTAAAATTAACAACAAAGATTGAAGTTCTAAAAACTCGGAATTATTTGCGGCATTCTAAACCACAAATATCTGAAAATACGCGTAAGAAATCAATTCAATTAAAACTTTTTTTTCGATTTACAAAAATTCTATATTTCATTTAAGCCCTAATGTGGCTTGATTCTTTAAAAATAGTTATTTTCTGGGAGGATTACCAAATAATGACGAGGATTTCGAGGTGGCTCTGACGAGAAAATGAGGAGAATGTGGCTCGGACGAGAAATTGTTGTAGTTGGCCTTCCTCGCCTCGTCCTTCTAAGGATTAACCAACAATAATGACACTTTAATAACTACTTGAAACTGAACCAGTCTGCTTTCTTGCTGTGTAATTTGTAAAGTGCGTTAATATGCATAAAAATGAACCAGTTCCTCGCCTCAAACTCTATGCAACTTAATGTCATGGACCTTTTATATTTTCAAATTATATATTCTGCTAGATTGAATAGTCTATAGGGTGAAATGTCACAATCTGATTGAAAATTGTACGGGCAAGAGATTTAGAGTTTTAGGATAAGGCTCAGTTTCTTTAGGACACCCTATGTTAACTGTTAATATAAGGACTCGGAGAAATGATATTATTACTCCAGCTACAGATCCATCCTGTATTAATATAAGGACTCGGAGAAATGATATTTTTACTCCTGCTACAGATCCACCCTGCATTAATATAAGGACTCGGAGAAATGATATTATTACTCCGGCTACAGATCCACCCTGTATTAATATAAGGACTCGGAGAAATGATATTATTACTCCGAATACATATCCAACCTCTCACTTCTCAGTTTCATTTTCAGAAGAAAGATCTTAAAAGATATATAGATAGTTGATGAGAGGGTCTGGTTTAGATAGATAGATAGATGATAACTTACAGATACCTTCTCCTCTAGTATTTAGAGAGAGAGAATGCTGGAAAACTGCAGGAGGAGGAGGAGGGGTAGATAGATAGATAGATAGAGAGACAAGACATCTACAAGGAGAGTTAGAAATAGCGTGTATCTTCAGTTGTTAAAAGAACCTTTTCCCCTGAAAATCAAGAGAAAAAATGTGATATCAAGTTACTGATATGTCATCAACTGTCATCAAAATCTAATGCACAAAGGAAATGAGTTCTTGCCACACACTCAAATTTTCTAATCCCTATTTCTTAGCAGCCTATTGGTGCAAACCTTTCGTAGACTATTTGATCTAAAAGAATTCACGAGTTTAAACGAACAAAGGTCGGGTTGCAAAAATAAAGGGATCAGAGTTTGTGAGTTCTGCTCTGCATTTGAGAAGATCCAGCCAACCCAAAGTTGTTAAACTCGCTATTTTACAGGGTTACCCAGAAAGGATGAGACTGTTAAGTACAGAATTTAGCATTCTGCTTTTATATGTATATAAGATTTACTGAAGCTGCACGGGCAGCCGTAGTACATTTGAATTTCCGAACCGGGTCAACCTTTCCGATCCCAGTTTGTACTGTACCTAGCTCTGTGGACAGGACTAGCCGGTGCAACAAGGTTGACGTGGTCAGACTTTATGCTTCATATAGGTTGAATTTACTTTTACTAAAGGGGCAGATTTGCGTGGCTGTTAAATTGTATCTTTCTGTGGGAAATCATTGAATCTACATTTTAAAGGCATAATTTTCTAACCTTTAAATCGTCATATTTTAAGAGTTTCAGGTCGTCTTTTCAGTCTAATCCTTGGTGGGTGACCCTGTAGTTCTGGAGTAACTGTTAATTATTTTAGCCGACTATGAGATTTGTGAGTAAAATAATAGAAAATCAAAAAAATTCCATAATTTAAACGTTATGACCTGTGAAAGGGGGGCGTCCCCCTAGAACATATATCACACATAAAAATGAACAAAGAGCTTTATAACTATATAGATGACAATATATATCACACATATAAATGAACAAAGAGCTTTATAACTATATAGATGTCAATTGTAATTCTTCATTTTTGCACAAAAGAAACTTTTACAAGCCATAATTATTTTCTGGACCTTTGTCCTTTTTTCATCTCATAGAGCTTTCTCATTTTCAAAATGTGTTTTACTATCTCTAGGTTAAACACTAACTTATGCTTAGCACTCCTTTATGCTGAGTCCATTAGCGCCTGATCCAATCAGGGTTCAGTTTTTTGTTTGTTGTTTATTCTTAACCAATAGAAATAGTATTACGAGAACATCTATCTTTCTACCTAACTCATCATCCAATTAGAGATATGAATCCTTCAATCGGCGCTAACAGTCAATGGAAAAATTTACTTCTACTGAAACTTATAGTGGCCTGATTTCCAAGAAGCCAAATGTTTTGAATTTACAGTTCAAATTTTGCCCTCCCCCATAGGAGCTCCTAGAGGCGCCATTCATAGATATATAAATAGATAAATAGATAGATAGATAGATAGATAGATAGATAGATAGATAGATAGATAGATAGATAGATAGATAGATAGATAGATAGATAGATAGATAGATAGATAGATAAATAAATAGATAGATAGATAGATAGATAGATAGATATATAGATAGATAGATAGATAGATAGATAGATAGATATATGAACCGGTAGTCTGACAGGAAATTGTTGAGCATTCACCAACAAATAGAAAGAGTATAAAATACAGACGTGAAAATATAAAAACAGAAATATCTTTCCATCTATTCAAGGAGTATTTATAAATAAGGAGTATAAAACTAAGGAGTATATAACTAAGGAGTATACTAAGGAGTATATAACTAAGAAGTATATAACTAAGAAGTATATAACTAAGGAGTATATAACTAAGGAGTATAAAACTAAGGAGTATGGACGTTACGGCTATCCTTTAGAGATTTATCCAACCTCCTATCACTCATCCTTTAAAGATTTATCCAACCTCCTAGCTGTCCATCCTCACTTATCCTTTAGAGATTTATCCAACCTCCTAACTTCCATCCTCACTCATCCTTTAAAGATTTATCCAACCTCCTAGCTTCCATCCTCACTCACCCCCTCCCCACCCCTAGTTCTAATAATATTTAAACCCTCTTGTGAGGACTGATAAGGCTTGAGCTGGTTCTAAACTTGAACCGGAAACCTGAACCTAGACCATGCTGTCTAATCAACCTGGATATTTCCTCTAACTTGTATTCCATAGTTAGATACAGAATCTCATCCCGATGGATACATCATACTATGAACTAGACAGACGGAGACAGTCCAATCTATGGCACGACTTTATAACCTCCTAGCTCCTCTTACGCAAAGTATTAGAGTAGCAAAGGAACTGAGTTTTTGCCACGAACTCTGATTTTCTAATCCCGTTATCTTTGCAACCCG